ATGTAAATAGAAGACACGAGATTAGATGCAATAACATGAGCAAGAGTGTGTGAACGAGGAATTAGGGGTGGATCCGACAAGGAGAGACGTATGAGAGGAGGATAACGACGTGTGTACAATGTGCTTGGGTAACCGTTAGCATCTACATTTTTAGACGTTTGCTGGGGTAGACGGAACATCTATGGGTATGCCTGGTGTGCCATGATGTCGATTTTTTAAATATCAGCAATAAGTAATTTCTTAATAGCGGCTCTGCGGTTAAGAGGTTAGTGAACAAGTTTCACAATCTAAGGCCGGACTTGCCAGGATTCGGCCCTTTTAGAATAGCGGACGTTTTCGTGGCTTGATACTCCCCGCGTGGATTTCAATACCCCATTTTAGAGAACAAAGAACAGACTCAGTGCCTCTAAACCAGCATGTCGTAGGAGGCGATTAATTAGGGGTGTTTCCTTCAAAGTCGAAGTGCATCTGCATGAGAGGCAAGGAACCAACACTCTGCTTACAAATAAGCCGGTTCTGTAAAACCGATGTGCATGCAAATTCAAGTTCTGGATCCTGACCAAAATCCGGTGATGGACGAACAATCAAATATTTCAGCCGGAGTTTACAGCTGACGAACACTAAGAAGAAGGAGGAAAACAGGGGTTTTATCACGTAGTATCAGCATTAGGCAACAGTAATGCCAACCTTCTCTCTCTCTCTCTCTCCATTTCTCTCTGTCTGTCTCTCTCTTGCACACTGCCTTGTTTACTCTAAAGGAAAGGTAACATCTCTACGTACGAAACTAAGCATTCTGCACAAGCTGCTGCATCAGAAGAGCAGCGTCTGTCTGCCTCTCTGTCTCCTTTAGAAAATATACCCTTTTAAAGTATACGGATAATAGTAATGTTTTGTTTAGTTTTCGGAAAAAAAGAAATAATTAAGAAAACGTCTACAAAATCACAGAAAGTGTGTCATGACTGGCAACTTTCCGTCTTTCCAGATGATAGTGTTATGTTGCGCTACGAGGAGGCATGAGACTCACAGCCCATGGTGATGGCGAGTATGACTAGCAAGACCCGCACATGTTAAGAAAAGTATTCCACAGTTATAGCATGGGATTTTAGGATCGTTGTCGTCAACACTTGCGTTTATTGTGTTTCTTCCCAGACGCTCAGCTCTCATTCTTTCTACAATAATTTCCTCCTTCATTCTCATTCCCTTCCTGATGTGTCTCCTCCACACAACACGGTTCATGACATTTTGCTCCCACGAGTCTACCTCGATACATGTATCATTAATGTCCCGCTTGTATACATCTTTATATCGTAGTCGAGGTTGGCCTCGACATCTTCTACCCGACTCTAATTCATCATAGAGGATATCCTCAGGGACTCTGCCATCCTACATTCTCCAGGTGTGACCGACCCACCTTGAGCATTGAGAAGACTGTTGTAATTCCTGCTACTGTTTCAGTACCTAAGTGTTTGTGATCTTGTCCAGCCGCTTAATTGCTAAGTATTCTTTTTAGGCATCGAATGTGTTAGCTATCAAGCCGTCTCTCCTGGTGCAAATAAGCTGACCAAGTTTTACAGCCAGAAAGCAGAGTGCTGAAAACACAAGTCGCCAGGGACACTAGATGAGTATCATTTATTCTATACATTAGAGTCCTATGTAGTCACTTCACAGTTAGAGCCTATTTGTGTATGTGTACTGTGTTGTCCTTTATGTGCTGATGAAGGCTAATCGCCGCAACGTCCTTTGTTTGTTTATTGTGATCGATTTTGTAAAGCTAACATAAACTAATTGTTGTTTCTTACCAACTTTTTCTCTTTTTATCTATCTATTGTCTTCTTCACTTTTACCGGGTTGCAGCCCAGTGTCGTGGTTTAAAATATTTGTTTTGTGCCTCTCGCGTGATTTGAGTGACAGTTTTCTGGATCTTCTGGCCGTATTCAGCTACTCCATCTATCAATTTTTTCCTGGGTCTTCCTCTGGCCTTTCTTCCCGATGTTCTATTGTAAAAGGCGTTATAGGCAATCTGATCTGGTAGCATTCTTACTAAATGACCAGACCACTTCATTCTCTGTTTTTCAATATGTTCCATGCATGCTCTGGTTCCAACTTTGTCTCTAATGCTGACGGTTGTGACTCTGTCTCTTAGTGTATTGTTGGCAGCTATTGTAAAGTTTATTTGAGAGTAGCTGGTGTATTTAAAACATTAGTGCTTTTAATTAGGCTTTGGAGAAAAATTTTGCACGTTCACACAGTATCCCCAAAGAGGGAGCTTTAGGTTATAATTGTGACAGGTAATTTGCGACATACAAAATGGCTGAGCATTGCATGCTCGACACCAAGTAGCCCTGCAAATGACTCTTTCAGTGTTGATGCGATTGAAGGAGACAGACCCAAATACTGTCGTCTACCGGCCAGCCAATGGGTGTCCCGGTCGCTGATGAAACAGTACAGGCCTCGGAGCTGTATATAGCTCAGGGTCTCAATCAGTCTAAATCCAGCCCTGGCTAAGAACCTGCTCTTACCTAATGAAGAAACCAAACCCAAACAAAAACAAACACACAACAAACTCCACTGCACTGTTTTGTTTGTATTTTAACATAAAATAACTTCCAAAATGTTTTTGTTAAAAAGACAGACAACTGAATAAGAAATCCACAAGCGTGAAATACGTCATAACTGCCTGTGTAGGACATCATCCCTTGGCTGTCTCGCTGGTCACCAGAATCTGTGTATAATATTAGAGATAATTTAATTACTAATTAAATAAGAGATCACAATGTAATCCAGGAACAAGAAAAACAGGTGCAGACACACTCACAAACACGGGAGAATTGGAGAGGGGATGGGGGTGGTGAAAGGGCGCCCAACCCCTTATGATTTTTTATTAGACGGGATTCATAAGAGTCGTAAGCCGTGGCCAAGTGCGCAATAAAAATTTTCAAATAATATCAAAGCAGTGTTTTCCCCGTTGTAATTTTGAACAAAGAAGACATAAACAGTAGACTGCACAATTTATTCCCTGGCATATTTCCCTGAATCTCGTCAGGCGCATACTACAGTAACAATTATATAAATGAAGCAAAAGTTTGAATACTTTATAAACGGAAGTATGAATTCAACAACAGTCAAATGCAACTGCAGGTTTCTCCAGTGCAGCCGCACTTTCAGAATCATGTCTTTTTGTTTACAAAGTTAAAGGCGAAGGTAAGAAATCATGGCAGCTTCAAGAAATCTTAGCGTTCTGCCATTGACAGACGTGCATGCATCTTTCCTGTAGCAACATACCGATCTGAATCGGGGACTGTCTCCCAGTCGTTACAGACGAAAATAAGAGCCTTTGAGCAGAAATGCCATAGAAAGATTCTCAAAATACCAATGACAAAGAAGAAAAGAAATACTGACATTCGGAAAGATCTCAACATTAAGTATGATTGGCTAGTCAACAGCATCTTGTCTCGGAAAGAGAAATATTTTGATATTTATGAATATATGATGATGATATTATTATTGTGTTAATATTGTTGTTATCATTATTATTATTATTATTTAGTTGCGTATCCCTTACAGGACGTTGCAGAACCAACCCCAGCATTTTTTTTCTTGTTTGGTCCGATGAGGTTTTTCTAGGCAAGCTAACGTCCAGTGGATACCACTGTCGAAACCAACGCAAGGCGCACGGCCGCAGCTGTGATCGAACCCGACACCCCAGCATTACGAAGCGCGTTCGCAACGCGTAAGCCACAGACACCGATATTACTATTATTGTTGTTATCATTATTATTATTATTAGGTACTGAATGACAACTAAATATTATTTTATATTTAAAATAAGACAAAATGTGAAAACAAGTACTCAAACAGAGATCGACAATACATGGTTAAGATGGACACATTAAACATCTGGGGGGGGGGGGGGGGGGGGGGGGGGGGGGGCTAAAGGTACTAGAGCTGCTAGGTTCTGCAACCCTGACAGCAACACAGTGATACTATAAACCACAGTGTTCTTCAACCTCTGAGCTGCGGCTCACAGGCGGGTCGCCGAAAAAATCCCCATGGGTCGCCAACAAATGCTGCCTTATCAGGTAACGATGTAGGATAGATGGTGTTTCTCTTCTAAGCTGCAGAATGACGTCCTCGGTGACTTTGTACTTTTGCGGAAATACTTTCTCCGGCTTGTCAATGATAAAAACTAAACGCAGAAATCAAATGGATGTTACTGTGTTTTTTTTTCCATCAAGAATTAAGTTAGGTCATGCCGGTGTGTTGGGAAAAGAGCAGACAGATGGACTGGGCGGCTCTGCACCACTTGGTGATAAACTGATGTATGACAAACTTGATTTTGTGAGGGTCCCTTGGGAGCGAGTGAACAGTGCGGAGGCACAGATAGATCATTACGGTCTGAGTAGAATGGCGCTGTAAGGAATTACCAGGGGATCTGGCCGACGCTCAACACTCAGGGGAAGGGCGAGACAGTTACTGGTGCCATCATAACTGAAACTCTTTGCTTTTTTGCTGTGATAGGGACAGAGCGTTTATGGGAGTGTCCCGAGTGCTGTGATGTCGATTCTCAATTCAACATTCAGTGGTCAACGTGCAACATTTAACACTAACCAATAAGAAGAAACAGATGTCGCAGTAGTGTGACATCAGATTTAACAAATAAACTAGATCTAACTGATGCGCCACGAAACAAAAAGGTTTAAGTCGAAAGCATCGACCTCCTAGCACCGGGTTTTATTCCATATGGCTCGGTCTCTTTTCTTAGAACGGCTAGCGGCCTACCGAAAGCGCCGCACAGAGCACGAACTTCGTAGCTCTGGCGACCATTTCCAGTAAAGAAAAAATAGGGGGGGGGGGGGAGGGGGTCAGCTAGCTTTCTTGATTATGTCCCGTTTTCACCTCAAGATATTATGGCCACCCTATGTGTACATTTCATTGCAAAATGCGTATATTTAAATTAACGAAACAAACTACGAAAGCCAACGCTCATTATGCAAGTCACCTTATCCTCTAGAACCATGGAATCCTAGGTGAGGCTGTCTCTTCCATTTCTCAGCATCTGCGAACACACGAGAGTCAATGAAGGTTTTAAATGTGTGCTTGATTAATACAGGTAGGTTAAGATTATCGTCACGATGTGATTTTTTTAGTAAGAAATTGAACAATTCTGCAATTTCTGAGAGCGGCTATCCTCCGCACTTCGGGCACAAAAGATGGCGGCCGCAAAATATCCTTTCGAGTCTCAGTCACGTGACTTAATTTGCGGTTTTCCGGCGACTTAATTTGCGGTTTTCCGACGACTGCCGCCACCGCCAGAGTCTCCCACGCCGCTCACGCGGCGTGGATTGGGGCTAAACTAGATGACTAGGACTCACGAGCAAAGCTGCAGGAGATGCGGAAGCTGCTGCTCGTGGGTAGTCGTCGGAAAACCGCTAATTAAGTCACGTGACTGAGGCTCGAAAGGATATTTTGCGGCCACCATCTTTTGTGCCCGAAGTTCGGAGGATAGCCCTGAGAGCATATTTACGAATATTGTAAGAATTTGAAAAATTCTGCAATTTCTGAGAGCATATTTACGAATATAGTAATAATGGAACAATTCTGCAATTTCTGAGAGCAAATGTACGAATATAGTAATAAATGGAACAATTCTGCAATTTCTGAGAGCATATTTACGAATATAGTGAGAAATGAACAATTCTGCAATTTCTGAGAGCATATTCACGAATATACTAAGAAATGGAACAATTCTGCAATTTCTGAGAGCATATTTACGAATATAGTGAGAAATGAACAATTCTGCAATTTCTGAGAGCATATTCACGAATATACTAAGAAATGGAACAATTCTGCAATTTCTGAGAGCATATTCACGAATATACTAAGAAATGGAACAATTCTGCAATTTCTGAGAGCATATTAACGAATATAGTAAGAAATGGAACAATTCTGCAATTTCTGAGAGCATATTTACGAATATAAATCAGGTCATGGAATTCTTCTTCTTCTTCTCGTTCACCGGCTGTACATTCCGGCGGAAAGTTATGAATGTGCGTCCAGTTCTGGACTTTAGTCTTGTCCAGAACTTGAGTTTTTGCATGCACATTCGTTTTACATTTTTAGCTTATTTGTATGCAGACTGTTGAATTCTTGCCTGTCTGGCAGATGCACTATGATTTCGAAAGAAATAAGCCTTATAAGCCGCCTTGTACGACACGCTTGTTAGATGCAGTGGATCTGTTCTCCTCCTTCCGCTCCCCTTCCCTTAAAAAAATGGGTCCCTGGAAGCCACACACTCGTTTGTCCGTTCCGTTTCACACAAAAAAAAGCTCGACCACGTTCAACGGTTATATTTATGGTCTAAAACCACACAGAGAAGGTCGTGAATTTAAACTGCTTGATTACTACTGTAGCAGGGTAGTGGAGTAGATTGTTAGCGTGTTAATAATTTTGGTTTGACTGCACTTGGCGGGCTCAAACTGGCAGGTTTGCTGATTGGAACTCTCCGGAAGTGCCCAGTGAGTTAAAAAGTCGAAATAGGACCCAGCGCAAAAAAAAAAACTTCTTTTTTGTATCCGTGGCAGTGGCACTAGAAACACGTGGTCCTGAATTTTCGTTGCTAACCCGTATAGGGTTCTCAGCGCAACGTAGGTTCGGGAGGACTGAGTCGAGAGATGAATTTACTCACTAACAATTTTTTTTTTTTTTTTTTGGCGGTACATCCAGTTAATATGTTGTGTAAGATCTAGATTTCCATATGCGTCCTTACGGGAGATTTTGATTGTAGGTTGCCTTGAAGTGAAAGCCAACTCTCATCTTTGTTAGCTAGAGTGATTAGCATATGGTCTGACTGAACACGGTGTTGACTGTGAATGTATTGTTATTTGCAAATCACGCTAGTTGAGTGTTCAGGAAAATAAAAAGATGTTAAATGTGATGGTATTCCATTTGTTTGATAACAATATTACTTCCGTCCCAATGTGCTACGTAATTTGTGTTTATTGTTTTAAGGCTTTAGTCGGGGGCTCTAATATAACCTAACGGTTGAAAGGGGTTTATGGGACTTGTGCCCAGGTGATCCTCATCAGAATGGCGGCGCTTTATGTCACCGGGTGTAGGTAGCTCGTTGTATAGTCCTGGTGGAGTTAAACAACAATTCATACACATTTGTTTGATTTAGAAAAGGACTTGTAGTTCGTGTACGTAACCTGTGGTTTCATGTTGTCGTCATTGTTTAACTCGTTAGTCAATATATGTCCTTATATATGTATAAGTGTGTGTATATGGGCGTGAGCATACAGTTACGATGATAACGAATTTGATGATAATAAAGATGATAACAACGACACACACACACTCACATTTACCCTGATAATACCGAGCTAGGAGCAAGGGCTCCAGACCAGGAAGTAGACGCTTGCCTCTACTTCCAAGAAACCCACTCGGACGAAACCTTTTCTCAGCTTCGCCAGCGAAGTGGGAGACAGGGGAAAGCCAGCCATCCCTGAGATTCGGGGATTCCCCATGGAGTCTCACCAGGTGGCGGTGTTGAAGAGCGTCACGAAAACTGGCGTCCCTCTCTTGGTTTTCTTCGACTTCTTCAGCGGAAGGATGGAAACCGGAAGTCTGGAACGTTTGAGCAAAGCGGGATAAAATGTAAGTAATTAGATTAGTAGCTTAAAAATGTGGTAACTACATTTATTGAAGATGGAAAATTGGATAAAGAAATTAACATTAGATGCAGTAAAGCGAACCAAGTATTGGGACAGCTAGCCTCCCTCTTACAGCATAAGACAATCCCAATCAGCACAAAGAGACATCTTATTCAAAGCATATTTATTCCAACTCTGTGCTACCAGTGCCAGACATGGTCACTCACAACAAACCATAAAAGAAAATTAGTAACCACGGAAATGAGATGTCTGAGAAGGGCTGTAGGAGTGACCATAAGAGATAAGATCAGGAATGAGATCATAAGAGAAAAAGTCGGCACAGAACCAATTCTGGATTACATACGAAGACAGCAAGTGAAATGGTTTGCCCACTTAGAGAGAATGCCTTGTGACACCATACCATACAAAGCATACATGGAAAGAGAAGAAGGACGTAGAACACGAGGTAGACCAAGAACAAAATGGAAGGATAACATCAGAGAAACTCTACAACAGCACGTTGTGCCTATGGTCGAGGCGGCCAGAAGAGCTAGAAACAGAACCTTATATCTCCCTCTACACCCACAGCCGTAAAAGAGGAAGTGAAGAAAAAGAAGAATTAGATTAGTTATCTATCCAGATCAAACAACTGTTTTTAGCACTTTTGACGAATTTAAAAAACTCAAAATTTTGAGGTTTTAGGTTTCAACATCATGGCACATGGGTAGTAATCTATAAGTGCTCCGTTCTTCTTTGAACAAGTCTGAGTGCACAGGCTCTGTAGCACCGGCGAGGATCCTGAAATACTTTGAGTAGATTTTTAACTTCAAATTGTGCCCGGGCAGCGCCGTTAGGCTACTTTTTTCGATTTCCAATTGCCAAGGGATTTTTTTTTACCTGCGCAACAATGCACACAGACGTCCTATCTCACTAATATTTTATCATATAGTGGGATGCAATTTTTTTTTTCAAATCTCAAGCCACCCTGGCTTTTGCCGGGGGGCTGAATATAGCGGGCCATAAATATGGCCTCACTGCTGAAAGTGGTTTCTGGGACCTCTCCACGGGTGATCCTCATCCGAATGGTGGCATTTCGTGTCACCGGGTGTTTGTCGCTTGTGTGATGTCCTAGTGGGGTACAACTACCAATCCTACCCTTGACTATTGTAGTCTGTTGGATTACCATCTCAAGGGTGAGAATTAGGGTTGCCATACCATTTTGCGGTACGATACCGGTCGTTTAAAAATAAAAATGACCTTGGTTTCCAGGTCGACCTAACCTTGAATGGGTACCAGGTGGAGTCTGGGAGGTAAAGGCGGCCAGCGTGATGCTGACCACATCTCAAACCAAGTGCCGATTGGTCTTTAAAATTTAAGTCTTGCCCCATATACCCAATGCGTCTGAAGGCTTGGAAAGCGTACGTGCTTTACTACACCATTTTGCTAACGCGCAGATATACTCTGAAATGAGGATCCGTTCCGCAAAATGGCGGAAATATGGCAACCCCAATGGAAACAAAAAGGTAAAAATTCAGAAGCTTGTTTCAACCGTATACTTCTATAGTACAGTTATTACTTAGTACTTAAGCATTTTAAAACGGTTACAAAGTAACCTTAGTCTCGCGTGAGTGGGTATAATAGTACAGTGTACCAACCTGTATGATATTGTCAGATTCGAAACTTGCGGCTCTTGCATGGCATATAGCTACCAGCACAAAGGTTACTGTCAGGGTGGGTATCAAGGACGTCATATTGGGAGTAATCTGTGGACAGAGAGAAAACGCTACTCAGTTAAAATAAAGGGACGACACAAGAAATGGAAGAGACAAATTAAGTTAATACTTGCTGCTATGTTGAGAAAGGGGGAGACAGGTATGCCCCCTGCTGAGTGGCAAGCATCGCTTTACAGGTTCCAGGTAGTTAGATTCCTTGAGATATTTTCTTCAAACATTCCGGTGTATTGGGGAACTAATAGAGAGATTTGCTGGCTGGCTCTGCGCAGCTTGGTGCTGAACTGATGCCTGACAAGCTACGTGTTGTAAGGGCCCTTTGGGATCGACTGAACAGTTTGTTTATTGTTTATTCAACCGATCAACAACATGGCACATGGTGTAACCAGTAAGTGCTCTGTTCTTCTTCCAACACGAGCCTGAGTCCGAAGAATCCCAGTGCAGTGCAAAAAAAAAAAAAAACTGTAGCACCGGCGGGGATCCTGAAATACGTTGGGTAGATTTTTAACTCTAAATTTTACCCGACAGCGCCGTTAGGCTATTCTTTTCGATTTCCAACTGCCAAAGAATCTTTTACTTATGCAACAATACACACGGGAGTCCGGTCTTACTACCCAGAGACAGGGATAAATTACTAGAAGTCAACGTGCAAAAATTCCAGCCTTCACCGGAACTTGAACCCGAAGCGGTAACTTTGGCTTGAGACCACTCAGCCCCCCGAGTGAACAGTTGCTGAGGTACAAACAGGTCATCACGGGCTGGGGAGGAACGGTGCGGCAAGAAGTGTCCAGGAAGATTGGCCGATACACGACACTCAAGGAAAGATTAGGTGCTTTATTAATATCCTACCCCAACAGGAGAAATTCACAGGTCACGGAACAGTAAAATATTTCAGGAGGTGCTAGATCGGCTGCATTCTCTCGTGGGACCAAGGTGGGTTAGGGTTAGGGCCAGTTCTAGATGTTTTTGGAGTCGTTAAAAGCATCAGAAAGCCAGGAAACCCAGTCTTTCACCATATAAAATGTTGGACTGTCCGGTGACATCACTGGGGGGTAGGATATTAATAAAGAATCGAATTTTAAGACGGATGTACAATCTGACTGTTACTGGTGTCATTAGAATTGGAACTCTGCGCTTGCTGCTAAGATGAAGACGGAGCGCTTAGGAGTGTGTCCCGAGTGATGTGATGTCGATTCTTAATTCAACATTCATACGGCAGGGACTAAGACACCATTATAATCATCATCATCATTCATCACCACCACCCTACTGTCACAAGCACCGAAGTCTGGTAGTCCAAGCTCCCGGAGGCTCAAAAAATGTAACATAGTATCTCAACACCCACCCCCCCCTCCCCGCCCCGCCAAATCATTCTTAGGTGGCTGTGCCAGAACCTCCTATGAAATTTGTTAATTTTTTAAGTCAGCAGTTTTCAACTTGTGGGTCGCGATCCCTTTGGTCCTAAGACCATCAGAAAACACATATTCACTGAAGTTATGAAGTAGCAACGAAAATAATCTTATGGTTAGGGGTCACCACAACATGAGGATTCGTATTAAAGGGTCGCTTCATTAGGAAGGTTGAGAGCCATTGTTCTAAATGGTCTTCCCCCCCCCCCCCCCCGCCCCGCCCCGCATTCCATCCACTCCTAACCTTTCTATATTTGTTCCGACACACCACTTAGGCGTAGATGACGAGAACTTCAAACAAGACCCCGTAGAGATCATTTACAGGCAGACCTATAGACACATGAAGTAAACAAGTTCAAAATAGAAGGCTAGTCACAGTAATGAATGGAGGTGGGTGATATCTGGCTAGACTGACTATATGTCCCGTTCTTACTGAGACAGTCCCGTTTTTTAAGGCGTGTTCCTGGGTACTTTACAAAAACACCTATTGTTCTTTTTTTTTTTTTTTTTTTTTAACTTGGTCTAGGAATAAGATCGAGAGTAGAACAAACTTATAGCTGTGTTTGTAGATCATCTGAGATTTCATCATCATCATGGGCCCTGCTAATTGGCGTTGGTGCTCATGCGTCTTCTACAGATCACGATCGCTGGTTGCCTGGAACAAATTTCATAGGTTTTTTGTTTGAATGTTTTGATAGGAATTTCCATTGCAGCTATTTTAGGACAATTTTGTTTGGCCACAAGGGATCTGTTTTATTACCATTGTCGAGCCGTAATTAACCCTTTCACCCGGATGACATAGAAAATAAGGGGTAAAAAGAGGGAGGGGACAGGGGAGGGGGAGAAACTGTTAAAGTGACTTGCTTGGGATGTTCCGTTTTTAGAACAATATATTAGTAGTAGTATGTCCCGTTTTCAGGTCAAAATATTAGTAGTATGTCCTGTTTTCAGCTCAAAATATTAGTAGTATGTCCCGTTTTCAACAAAAAATATTATGGTCAGCCTATATATATATATATGTATGTATGTAAGTTGTACCCCACCAGGACATCACACAAAGCGATAAACATCCGCTGACACAAAGTGCCCCCATGCGGATGAGGATCACCCGGGGAGAGGTCCTAGAAACCCCGTTCAGCCGCTAGGCCATATCTATGGCCCAGCTATAGTTAGCGCCCCCCCCCCCCCCCGGCAACAGAGAGGGTGAGGCTTCAAATAACGAAAAATTGCATTCCACATGGGGACGACTATAACGCAACAGCCTATATCTGCAGGGATGAACCTCAAGGGTACAAAATGCCGCAGGAGAGAAGAGGGGGAAAAAAACTGACACAGTTATTCAAAGTCATAGCACGAAGTTACCACTAACGGATCATATTTCCCTAACGGCATCGCACTTAAAGGACACAAGTGGCAACTCTGAGTTTTAAGTTGGGCAGAAATCTAATTTTGCAAGTTTTCGAGAAGAGATTTTTTTTTTTGGAGAAGACGATTATTATAGACGACTCAGTACTGCGTCATTTCTGATCTCATCGGTTGCTTTGTTCATGCGTATGTGTGTGTAAACGTTTTAACGGTTTTTGTAATGAACAGCTAAGTCAGTCGACCTATACGGCATGCATATTATGGGATATTGGGTCTATTTCTTTTTTTTTTTTCTCTCAACAATGGGCACCTGGAACCCATACAGGGAATAATAACAATTATTATATTATTATAATGGTATTATTATTATTATTATTATTATTAATTCATTATGTGGCAAATACAGTATAATAAAAAATATATTAAAAATATTATTACATTTGTAAACAAATTCTCAGATAACTGCTATGTGTGGTGGTGGGGGGAGATGGCACGTATCCCTCATACAAATTATCTAGAGGGGAGGCTCAGTCCGTACATTTTGTTATTTAAAGGCAAGGGGGTTGGCAGAAAAGTAGCTGCTCCCACAGGATCGGGCACCCCTGGTTAAACGCGTACGTTCGTGGAACTCTTAGTGAGGTAGGGGAGTCCGGTTTGCAGAGATGGCAGGAGAGCAAACGTCGTCACCATAGCGCTTGCTGAAAGGGAGGAATCATTGAATACAAAGACGGTCGGATAATTGAGATGGGTTTTATTTGTTTGTCAGGGCTGCCGTTGGTCCAGCGTCGCTACTGTTGTGTATTAACCCACATGGATTCTAGGGTCCCATTGTGAGGTTTGCAGAGATGGCAGGAGAGCAAACGTCGTCACCATAGCGCTTGCTGAAAGGGAGGAATCATTGAATACAAAGACGGTTGGATAATTGAGATGGGTTTTGTTTGTTTGTCAGGGCTGTCTTGTTATAGTGTCGCTACTGTTGTGTATTAACCCATATGGATTCTGGGGTCCCATTGTGAGGGCAAAAAGAATAGATGCATTGAGGTGTTTTTTTAGAGGTCTTAGTGTGGCTTGCCTGACAAGCGAGAAACCAACAATCTGAATACAAAGAAGTTTTGGAGAAAGTCTAAAGCCCAAAAGCTGACGAACAGCTAGAACAGTTTACTGTTGATAAACGCCAACGAAGGAACGATTAAAAGAAGGCTACGGTTATTGTTATGACTTTTAATGCTGTAAGTGTATTACTGCTGCTGATGTTACTACTACTTCTACTACTACTACTACTACTACTACTACTACTACTACTACTACTACTACTACTACTACTACTACTACTACTACTACTACTACTACTACTTCTACTACTAGTACTAATACTAATACTACTACTACTACTACTACTACTACTACTACTACTACTACTACTACTACTACTACTACTACTACTACTACTACGACTACTACTTAAGCTGCTACTACTGCTATATCTACTGCTGCTGATGCTGCTCCCACTACTACTACTACTACTACTACTACTACTACTACTACTACTACTACTACTACTACTACTACTACTACTACTACTACTACTACTACTACTACTACTACTACTACTACTACTTCTACAACTACTATACCTACAGTTGCTGTTGCAACTACAACGACTTTTACTACTTCAGCTACTACTACTGATTTATTATTTGATGCTTCTGATGCGGCTCCCACTACTACTACTACTACTACTACTACTACTACTACTACTACTACTACTACTACTACTACTACTACTACTACTACTACTACTACTACTACTACTACTACTACTACTACTACTACCACCACCACCACCACCACCACCACCATTATTATTACTACTACTGCTACTACTACTACTACATCTGCTGCTATCATTGCTATCACTGCTGCTGCTGCTACTACAACTACTACTGTCATTCATACTACTGCTACTACTACTACTAAAGCTGCTGCCACCATTGCTGCTGCTGCTGCTGTTACTACTACTAACAATACTACAGCTTGAGTTAATAGTAGTAAGTCAGACGAATAGAAGAATACAGAAAAGTATAGTCCCTCTCCATCCCTTATAAAAAGCAGTTAATGTTAGGTAATTCAGACATACAGTCAACAACATTTCACATCGTCATGCCCACGTCACCCCTGTCTTATATCTCCTTCTTCGTCGTCATCACCTAGTAGGTCCTTTGCAGAACGTCGCTCTCATCATGGTCTGCATGAAAGAAACTCCTCTCGCCAGCTCTCCCCCTCACGAACTTTCAAATCCAAGCAGTCACTTATATCCTTTGCCCATCTTCGTGTTGGTCGGCCCCTGCCCCTCGTTCCTGCTACCATACCTTCTTCTATTATTTTTTTTTTGTCCAATCCGCCATGGCACTTGATATGGCATAAATATTTCAGCTTCCGAGACCAGATGCTATTTGTCATTCAAACTTCCTCGATGTTGAAATCTTTTATAATATCAGCATTTCTTCGCTTCTTTGTCCATGACATTCTGAGAATCTTTTTATCGAATAACAGCTCAAATGCCCATATTTTCTTCCTATAGGACGTATTTTTCTACAGGGAAGAAGCATGCAACAACATATACAACTCCCTGAAAAAGGGTAAGAACAGACAATAAAGATAGTTTACAGTGGTTGTGAAATGACTCACCACCCACCTACAAATTAATTTACCCGTACACTGGATACGAAGGCAGCAAACGGTGTTATGAACCAAAGAGAAAGATATTTGATAATAGTTTTTTTTTTTAAAGCACGTTTTTGTAGTAGACGGTTAAATTAAATTTCAAGAGTTTGAAAACTACTTCCGCACTAACTCACCCCTGCAGTCTGTATGTATTGGTGTGTGTGTGTGTGTGTGTGTGTGTGTGTGTGTGTGTGTGTTGTTTGTGTGCGTGTGTCTGCCTGTCTGTCAGCATGCTTCTTCTTCTTCTTCTTCTTCTTCTTCTTCTTCTCTTCTTCTTCTTCTTCTTCTTCTTCTTCTTCTTCTTTTTCTTCTTCTTATTATTCTTCTTCCCTTTATCCTCAGGTGGAGCATAGGCCCTCAACCTACCCACGCCAAGCCTATCTATCTTCTGTACAATCTTTATTTTATGTATGTGGTAGTTGAGCCTGCAGTGTCCTGATTAATATTTTACACGCACAGATCCTACCCTAGCAAATCTTCCCCACCCCACGTCCCTAGTGTATTCTTGGAGTCGACTCCCCCGGCTAGAGGAACTGCAAACGCTCACTGTTTCTGGCAGCGCAAACGATGAGGATCCACTAATCAACAGTGTACATATTTCACTCTCTTCCAAGTACCACATAATCTTTTCCACGCGAACTAAAATCGTTTTGGTCATATAAGGAAACAAGTCGTAAGTTAATTTACGAATTCCGAGTTTCGTTTCTGATGAAATAACCCAGGCACAATTTTAAATCTAAAAAAGCTACAGCTGGGAACCTTAAATGTTTGGCCTTTGCTTAAGAGATTTGCTTCTTAACCTATTAAAGATGGAGGTATCGCTTGAGCATGGCCAAATTTGATTTGTTAGGCGCAAGGGCGTTGACTGTTCACTTGTCCTTAACATTTACGACAATGTCAACTTATTTTACGACATCCTGCATAATTTGTTTCCCCAAGGGATGTTGCTCTGTTTTCCGATTTCGATTACAGAAATCTCGTTTTTGAGTTCAGGCTGTTTATTAAATTTAAAACTTAGTTTCATGTTTCCTCCTACTATCTATTTTTCTTCTTCCCTTCCTGCCATCTTTTTTTTTCTTGGCTTCCCCCTTCATCTACTTTTCCTTTTCCTCTTTAGAAATAGATTGATAGTTATTGCAAAAGGTTAGAGTTGGAAGACAGTGTCATGTGACAATAGATTAACCTGCTAATAAAAATATTAAGAAGGGCTAAATACAAGATGTAATGCGACTAGAAAGCTTAACGGAGGAAATGGAAAACATGTTCACAAATGCAACTGAACGTTTCGATCAAAGTCTTTATCAATGGAGTATTAAATACAGCGAAAAGTGTGACCAGAAATCTCAGAGAACAAACCAACAGAGCTTCCATACAACCTTGGTCAACATGAAAGCAAGAAATAATAAAAATAGCAATCCAAAATTGGTCGACATGTAAAAAGAAATAAATGTATTTCTGTTCTTCCATTTTTATATAGACCTTGCTGTGATTTTTCACGGTCCGTGTTCGAAACGGGCGGTTCTCTGGGTTCACCCAGCCTCTAGGTAATGGGTACCAGAGCTGACACTCTGGGTTAAATGGAGGAACGTCGCTGTAGCTACGGAGTTACGTGCGGACGGCGACACCTGTGGACAGTTTCTTATCAGCTGTCCGTACTGACGGAAGAGCACTTATGGTTTATAACCGTGTGCAATGACGCTGGTTCACAACTTAAACTTTTTTTTTAAACCTTTCTAGAACATTCATTTATAGTTATTTTTGTAGATCTTATTAGATTTCAGTTTAGATACTTTTAATACCTAAAAAATCTTTTGAGAATTTTTAGAAATACTAAATATAAGACAAAATATGAACACAAAGCTTGGCGAAGGAAATTAAAAAGACACACACAAACACCACCGAACGTTTAGACCAGAGTCTTTATAAACGGAGTGTGTGTTGTCCATCAAGATGATGATGACCACTCTTTTACATCAAGTATGAGTACGAAGATGACTGATGAGACCAATGCGGGTCCGAAAAGTTCTTGGACAGTGAGGACAGGGAATGAGCGTTGTGCCAGGGAGGGGATCTCCTGCAGTCGCCTTTCTGTCCATCCTTTTCTTGATCAGTCTTGCTTTTCTGTTTGCTTCACATGTAGCTAGGACCTTGTGTAGAGCTGCACGCCTTGCATTTCAGTCTTGAGAGGCAGTCTCCCAATTGGTGTCATTCATCCCAAATGCTTTGAGTGAAGACCTCGAGGTGTCCTTAAAGCGTTTCCTTTGCCCACCTTGAGAACGTTTTCCATTTTGCAGCTCACCATAGAAAGGTTTTTTTGGGAGCCTGTGATCTGGAAGAATGCTTAGAATACCTTGGACAGCCAAAAAGAGCAACCAAGAGGTTTTGAAAGAGGCGGGAGCCAGAAGACAACTTATCACAGACATCAGAAGGAGACAGTCATCATTTTTCGGCCATGTTATGAGAAGAGGGAAAATAGAACATGTTGTGACCACTGGAAAGATATGTTGAAGGAGAGATAAAGGAAGACAGCGAGAGAAGATGCTTGACAGTCTTCTTGCATGGTATGGAGGTGTGTCGGCACACGAACTGATACATGCTGCAGGGGATCGCATATTATAAAGAGGCATGATCGCCCACGCCAGTCGGCAAGGCACCTGATGATGATGATGATGATGTGATCTGGCATGCGTGTCACATGACCAACCCAACGTATTTGATACTGCATCAGTAGAGTGGGGACGCTCGGCACGGCACGGCTGCTTTCTCAAGGACTACGGAATCAGGTACTTTAAATAAAGTACTTGTTAGTTGTGTATCTTTTACAGGACGTTGCAGAACCAACCCTAACAGCCCCTGGCTGTTGTGTGGTTTCTCTAGGCACATTTACGTCCAGTAGTCTGCCATTGCTTGCTGGACGGTCGGCTTTCTTGATACCACTGTCGCATACAGCAAAAACTGTGACCGGAAAACTCAACGGACCTTTTTTTTTTTTTTAAATAGCTCTATTGTCTTGCTCGTTGCGTGCTGTAATCTGGCTGCCTTGTAGATAAACTAGGGTTAAAAAAAAAGTAAATAAAATAAAAAGTACTTGGGGTAAGGAAATGTAGAGGGCTCAGGGCCGTATTTAGACTTGATGAAGCCCTGAGTGAAATAAAACCCCGAGGTCCCTACCGTTTTAAGGGACATCAGCTAATCTCAGAGAACCAAAATATACACGCCCCTGAAGTATATTGATAATGGAATTATTGGGTTCCGGGGTAAACAAGAATAGACCCATTAACTGCACGACGCTGATAAATATGCTGAGAGGGGAATCTGAGCACCTATGGATGTGTCCGGAGTGCTGTGAAGATAATCTAACTCATAACTCAGACCCACTGCCTATCCAGAAGCATGTGGTAAGAGTCGACTAATTGGGAGCTTCCTTCGAAGGAGTGCATCTGTCTGAGAGGCAAGGAACCAGCAGTCTGCATACACATGAGTCAGATCTGTGAAACGGATGCACACGCACCACTCGGTTCTGGAACAGAACTGCAGTCCAGAAGTGGACGAAAAACCAGAACTTTCCGTCGGAGTTTACAGCTGGTAAACGCGTAGAAGAAGAAAATACTGTCGTTGAATAATTTATAAAACAAATACTAGAGAATGTGTATAAAATCACATAAATTATTTTATATAATTCTCTAAAAGGCTCTCTATTAAAAGAAAATTTGAAAATGGTAAAAAAAAAAAAAGGCATTTGAAGACTGCGTGGTCCCAATCTGTGCTTATGAGTAAATCCAGAACTGAAAGGAACCACACGCTTGACGAAACAGTGCAAAGATATTACCCATGATGAATACAACATATTTGTGTCAAACAAATTTTGTCACGGAAGGTTGCCATAGAAGTTTTGACACGGAAAGTTTGCCACAGAAAGAGTCAAGTATTAAATTTCCCCAGTGTTTTCTGTAGTTGAAGTCCATCCATTAACAAAGGACTGTGCCAGATTTCATCCCATCTTGCTGGCGTCAGAAAATTCCTGGCTATTAACAATTGTCCAAACTGAGATTTTAAATGAACAATAATTGTGCAAATTGGCAAATTTAAGATGTTTGGTGCGTAGTTGCGGGTGAAATTAAAAGGCGTATCTAGTTTCATTCTCAATATTTCAAGTATTGTCAGTTATAATTTAAATAAATATTTACCAGTATTGATTGACACTGACAGAAGAACACAAAGTTTTCCTGCTTTCAACTCACCTCTTCCGTGGTTATAAAAAAGTTGTCTTTTTTTCGGAAGAGACTTTAGGCAGGAGTGGTATAATGGTATGGCAGAATTAGAGGTACAACAACTGATAGATGAAAACAGTGAGCTAGATGATGCAATACTGTACATCGATAGTTCTGTTCGTCGTGGTAAAAGATCTGACTGAGGATGTTCATCTAGAATGGGAAGCTCGTTGAATGGGCCTCAGTTTGAATAGTGGGAAGACAGAAATAATAGTGGTATCAAAGAAAATAATTACTCCTAAATGTGTAATAAAAGTCAATGGTGTTATTTTGGGACAAGTACAGAAATTTAAGAATCTGGGCACATGGATAACATCAGATGGAAGATGCATTACTGAAAAAAGAAACAGAATAGGACAGATAAAAACTACATTTTATCAAATGAAGAACATCTTATGCAAAATATCTTTGTCATTGAAGGTAAGAAAAAGAATTCTTGCTTGCTACATACATCCAGTTTTAACATATGGCTATGAGTCCTAGACAATTGGTAGGCAGGCCAAACAATTTCTTGAGGCCTCAGAGATGCGGTTTTACAGAACAATGCTCAAAATACCTTGGACCACCAAAAAAAAAAAAAAAGCAACTACAAAGTTTTAAAAGAGGCGGGAGCCCGAAGACAACTAATCACAGTCATCAGAAGGAGACAGTCATCATTTTTCGGCCATGTTATGAGAAGAGGGAAAATGGAACATGTCGTGACCACTGGAAAGATCTGTGGAAGGAGGTATAGAGAAAGACAACGAGAGAAGATTCTTAACAGTCTTGTTGCATGGCATGGAGGTGTGTCAGCACACGGACTGATACATGCTGCCGGAGATCGCAGATTGTGGCGAGAAATAATCACCCACACCAGTCGGCAAAGCACCTGATGATGATGATGATACACTATTTGTATTCGTTTTCGTATTCTGCCGAATAGTTGGTCCCGCTATTCGTGTTCGGCCGAAAAGTAAAAATCACTATTCGGTATAGCCCTACCACCAACTCTGTAGTTACTTTTATACCTCACCATCCCCACCCGTAAAATACACCCATGTCAAGTACCCTTCCTCCCCCCCCCCCCTCTTTCCATACACACACACACATACGTATTTAACTAGTAGAATTTCTGGGCACTGGGTGGATGACGTCACTCTGAGAAGCATCCGTAAACCAGATTTTTCCCAGACAGACTCCACTAACATCGTTGGCCAATGAGCGACCACTAAATACACAGTGGCTTCAATTAGGATTTATGGTCGCATCTGAAAAAAAAAATTACAGTCTGGCATAGTCATCATTATCATCATCATCATCATCATCATCACTTCTACTTTTGGCGTTAAGCAGAGTGTGGAGGAACAGTTTG